GTTGTACATGCACAGAATTCTTAGCCATTACGCGATTCGCACCTGAATCTCCAACACCTCAAGGGGACTGTATTTCTTATTGCTATTACATATTATACCTGGGGTTGGACAGGACTGGCTGATGATGGTTAATAATCCAGAAATGCCAATTCCGGTCTGCGGTACTCCATACTGTATATAGTGTTTACTAGTCAGTTTTAGACTATCAAACTCGTACTCCTGTATTTGTTTAATACTGCTCTCATGATATACCTGAGGTCAAGGATTCAATTCTCTCTCGAAAATTATCTCACAATAGCTCGTGTAGGTCTTGTATCAGCAAACGAGCTAGCTGCCTCTGGACAACTAATATGAAATCCGATATGGCAAATAGAATATTGATTACCAGTATACACAGTCGATTGTATTAATCTCGTTGAGGCGTACACTTAGGTGACTGAGTCCCGCTTTAGTGAATAATGTAAAACAAAGTTATTCAGAAGTAGGTGTTTAGTCTGCCTCTTCGGAACATAATGTAAGCCTACATGTTCAAAATAGTATTTATCACGCACATACTCAAAACGGTTTTTCAGTCTTACAAAAACCTCAACCATTTCAGGCGTTGGCGCAGGATGCGACCTCTCAAATCTCCTCAACAACGCCCCCTTTGCGGTTCCCATGCCAGGCTTCTGGCCCAACTTCAACATCCCTGGAGACCAACCAAGAGGGCCTTTTGATCAAAAAAGCAAGGACAAGACACGTGAGCCACAGCCAGTAGGCTCATTTCCTGCCAATTCGATGGACAGTCTGAAAGCCTGCTTTTCGACGGATCCCCTGAGCTCCTTGGACCAGCGGCGCATTCCTGCCTTTCCACTGGGCGTTAAGAGCATGTTCGGACTGGGTTTCAACAGCCTCTGTGAGCATTTACCCACGTCTCTGAGGCCTCGACAATCTCCTGAGACGGCCTTTCCTCTGCAGCCTCCGACGTCGATCCATTCAGCCGGTGGTCTGCCGGAAGCCAGTGGTGACCGTACTGCTGGAAGGAATTGGGACGAGACGGCAATGGGACCCGATCATGAACTCAGTTTCAAGCGACCTCGACTGGAAACCTCAGGTGAGAGGATATGGCACAAGTCGGGTTTCGGATTGC